TGCATTTTGGTGGGCGAAGTGGCTTCTCACAAGGTTTTATCAGCCCTGACTTGGCTAAGGTGGAGGCTTAAAACTTGGGGCACAACTTACTCACTCTGTCAGCTCCTCACTTGCCTTTTAGCAGGACTGGTTCCCAAGCCAAAAGAGCGAGTATTGAAAATATGGAACCTCATGGCTTCCCCTTACTTGCCCTTTGCATGGTCTTCTTTTTCTACACAGACCTTAAGATGGATGCCTTCAGGACATGACCACGTCCTGAAGAGGGCAGACCCGGGGTGAAGACTGGGGCAGGGAGCTCTTTTCTGTTGAAGTCTCCTTGTCTACTTCAGTCAGCAGCCCTCTTCAGAGAACCCTCATCAGAAAGACCCTCAGGGTTTTCTCCTTTTCTTCCTGTAAAGATGGTAGAAATCTCGGCCAGGGAAGAACAGCTGTGCTGACCTGACAGAGGGGCAAACGGAGACTCCAGGAGGTCAGTGACTCAGCCAGGCCCTCGTACCTGGGTGGAGGGGCAGAGCTCTGCCGAGAAGGAGGCAGCCTGCTCCCAGGGCAGTACTCCTGGTCCAGTGCGCCTCCATATCCCCTGCTGCTCTCCTTCCAGGACCGTCCTGAGAGTGTCTCTGCTCCACATTCCAGACCCATGGGGAGAAACGTAGCTCCTTAGAGTAGGTTCAGTTCGTGACTGAGCATGGCTGTTCACCATTCATGCTGTAGTGTTGCAATTTACTGCCAAGGATGCTAAGGAACGTTCTCCTCTTCCAGGGTGGCGGAAGGTCCTAGACAGTCCAGGGAATGTTTTAATATCTAGCCACCTCGGGTCTTTTGCTCTGGAAAATCAGGATGATAGGAATAGGTAAGACCTTGAATCACTCTTCACTGGGTACCTAACCCAGCTCTTGGTGATGCTAAGAGAAGGAAACTGGGGGACCTGAGGGGACCTAAGGAAACAAGGGGATCGTTCAGCCTGAGATGCAATGTCAATGTGAAAATGACCAGGTTTGGTTAAATTGGGGGGGTTTGTTTATTTGTAAAGTGGTGGCTACTCTGCTCACTCGATTACTCAAATTCTGTTAAACCCCATTTCAGGCACTCCTGAGTCCTTCCTCCTCTCACAAGGCTGGTCTGCAGCAGCTGGTGGTGGGAGGTGGGCTGAGACCTGCTCTCCTGCAGGGAAATATAGGCTGGAAGACTTGTGATCAGGCAATCCCTTTGAATTCCTCAGTGGATCTGATAAAAATGAATTAAAGCCCCAAACCAAGAGAGCAGTGTATGAGTAAAAAGGCTCAGGTACCATGTTTGAAACCATCCCTATCCTTCAGATAGATAAAGGAGCCAGGACTCCCCATCCCCACCTCCTGCCCTTGCATCAGCCTCAATTCCACAGCCCCCTCCTCACTCCCACACTTTTCCTCCTGGCAGCATCCCAGTCCCATTTGCCCAACCCCTACCCTGGACTCAGCCATCACTTCGAGTTCCCCCAGTAACACCCTACTGTCTTTTATGCTATCTTGGCGAGTCTTTGCTTCTGAACCACACTGAAGGGCCTTAATTATAGACACCTGGACCCATACATCTTCATTTCCTGAAGTCCTCTGCATGGTTCCGGGGCACGTAGGAAACCCTCTTAATAAGTGAAGGTTGGTGGTTGATTGGTTGGTTAGTGGGTGAATGGAGACTGCCCTTTGAAGAACAATGCAAATCAGCCTTCCCTCTCCGGGTGATGCCTACCACAGGAAACGTGAAGCCCCAAATCTCAGGTCACCACGCCTTTACATTCATGAGATGTCTCCGCGAGTTCCCATCAAAGTGGTGAGCCAGCAATGCAGGCAAACAGCCAGAGAGTGTGTATCTGCCCACCGGCGTCAAGACAAGGCAGACTCTTTGTTCTGCTGGAGTGGGGCGGTGGTGAGACAGGATAGTTGCACTGCTTGCCCACTCCCAGAATTTGAGGGAGTTGAGGGGAAAGGGTCTCCTCTAACCTTAATACAGTGCTGAGGGTCAGAATTCAGGTTTGGAATCAGGATGGCCAGAGACTGAATCCACACAGGGGCCAGAAGGAAATAGGGTCACATGAGCACAAAGGTTGAAAGTGGAAGTCGTGTGGGTGGTAAGTTCCATTCCTGACCTGTGTTCTCCTAAAGGTGTGGCCTGTTCCAGTCTCCCCCATCCGTCTCACACAAACATACCACCCACTGAAACAGAGTCCTGGAAGGTCCTCTCCGAGTTTTAACTTATTTAAAAAAATTAATTCCAGGTCCCTGGTCTCCACATTCTTTGCCACCTGCCTCACTTCCCCAGCTGCGTCTCCATCCTCCCCTCTCCCTTCTCTTCCTCCTCCCTCTCTTCTTTGAACGACAGGGACCCAGTGGACCCCCACACTCCCTGCCAGCATCCTGTGGAAACAGGCTGAAGTTTACCTCCCGGGCTCAACAAAAAAGTAAAGTGGCTCATGAAGGGCAAAGAGGCTTTTGAGAAAGAAAGCTCTTCATCAAACACAGATATCAAGAATATTAGCAAGGGGACTAGAGAAAATTGCTATCAAAGTAAATTGCTTTTTGTACAAATGTTCCCTTTACTGGGGTTTTCCCCAGGGTGTCATTCTTTCTTTAAGGCTTCATGAACAGATGCGCTTTTGAAAATGTTGATTAACTTATCCTTTTCTCGACCCCTTCCCACTCACCCAAACTCCTGCGAGTGGTGATTATGCAAAAAGCCAAGTCAAGTCTCTAAAGGGTTCTTCACCTGAAGTAGCCTTTGATCTTCCAGGTGCAGGAATCTCAGCCACATCTGGGCAATTACTTTCATAGAACCTTTAAAATGGACCCGTTCATGGGAGGTCATCTCATCTAGTCCTCTGCCTGCAGAGACAAGAGGCCGTGATCTCTGGGGACAAAATGTTCTCATCGTCATTACCATCCTTTTACCCTTTTTCTTCCAAGATCAATGCCACATCCACTCCTTTCCAGCCTGTGATCAATAGCGTCCTAAAGACTTCTTCCTTGAGGGTATGAGATGGCGCAAGATGCCATTCTAGCCTCCAAGACTTTGTCACATCCTTGGCAGAGGCTGAATCCCTAAAAGCAAGAACAGGATTTGGCCCAAAAGTCACTGGCAGGAGCCCCGCAGTTTTCTTCCTGGGCTGATTCACATAGTCTCATCCAGTGTGCTGCGTCCTTTAACTGTGAAGGTGTTAAGACATATGAGCATCCCGTCAAAATGATTAATTGTTGGAAAGGTGATGGCTTTCTTCCATGTTTGTTCTATCATAAGGTTAAAAAAAGGCTTTGGGTTGATTTCCACAAGCCTGATTGGATCCCTATGACAGACACCACTGCCTCTTGTTGCTTCTTGTTCACAGCCTGCGTGGTAGAGGCCTGGGGAGTAATGCAGGGGATGGGCATTGAGGTGGGGAGGCTGGCGTGGCCTGCAGGTGCCGGCTGCTGTTCTATAAACATGCCAGGGACAGGCTGGCCTTGTGGAGGATGGGTGCCGCATGGTGTCCATCCTTTCAACTGGGGTCTTGGCAAAGTTATTTTCTGCATCCCTTACTGGTGGCCAAGAGTGTAAGAATGGGCTTTTAGCTCTTTGGCCAGGAATGAGGAAGACTTCTTTTTTTTTTTTTTTAACATTTTTTATTGATTTATAATCATTTAACAATGTTGTGTCAAATTCCAGTGTAGAGCACAATTTTTCAGTTATACGTGAACATATATATATATTCATTGTCACATTCCTTTCTCTGTGAGCTACCATAAGATCTTGTATATATTTCCCTGTGCTACAAAGGAAGACTTCTAACATGATGAAAACCACTGCCTCCAGAAAAAGACTGAAATTCAAGTGTGGCAGTGATAGATCGAGCCTCAGTTCAGGTCATGGTCAAGTAGCTCTTCCCTGAGACGTTGTGCCAATGAGGGAGAAGTTCAGGCTGGTCTGAAGTTCTTTTTTTCTCTCTTGTGTAATCTTTTAGCCATTTGGGAGTTTGGGTTTGTTTTAAGGCTTGATTTTTGGGTATCAGTTTATAGTGTTGACATCAAAGTAGTTCACCAGACTTTGGGTCAAATGAAATTCCTAGAGGCCACATATGTTCACCGGGACCATCTTGGGCTCCCAGCCAGGACAGGCATCACTAACTTGTGAGGTAGGAAAAATGATAAGACCCCACTCTTTATATTTGATTCTCTTTTTTAATGTTTTACCATTTTAGACAGGTAACTTCCACTGGCTCTGATTTCTATAAGATGGACAGCATAGTGAATAGAAACCTGGATTACCCCTCCCCCCAAAAAATTATCATAAAAAAAGAAGTTAGACAGTGATAATACTGAAGAAAAATTCAGAGTGAATTAACTTATCTCTGTTCAAGCCTGGGCTAGTCAGACTGGATGCTCATGTTTGATCTATTCTAAACAGTGAAGAAAGCCAACGGGAAAAACAGAATGGGAAGGAAAGAGAGGAGACCTTAGTATGGATATGTGGAGGTGGACAGGCGTTTTAATGTTCTTTCGAGTTCTGCTTCTACATTAAAACATGTAATGATGAAACCTGACTTCCTTAAATACCATCCATTTATTTGAAACCCAAAGGAGAAGGACTCTTGTACTTTGTGTCCACACAGATGCATGCATCTGAGGAAGGCAGGATGTTAGACTGAAAGAACTCACAGTCCTGGCAACTGACAGGGCGTGAGAGGCTGTTGAAGTTGCCTTCGATAAAATTCAGACCTATATTGGTAATAAACAACAGTCATTATAAAGACACAAGTGAGAGTTTACTCGGCACTAAAGATCTTTCTTATTGTTTCTGTTCTTCTGGTTGCTGTTGCAAATAAAGACCAATTATTTGAAGGGGAAAGTCTCTAGGAATGTACATACTAAACGATCCAGAAGATTCTTTAGCTGCCCACGGTGCTGGGAATCATTCTCAGAAAGGTTGTGTCTCTGCCTTTTACATGGCATAGAACTTGTTATAACTCAACTTTTATGTTTTCTTTTTCCTTACAGTGGACATCCCAGAAATACATGGGAGAGAGGGCTACGAGGATGAAATTGATGGTGAGTTTTGCTGTGATTTAGCAGATAATCAGGAAATTTGAGTCTGGCTATAAAGGCATCAACAAAAATAATGCACAGGGTATTGGAGGGCCAGAATTTAGAACTATCAGTCAGAAATAAAAGTGACAAGAATCCAGAGAGGAAAGAAGAAACCATCAATCGCTCTGTCAAGGTCAAATTTAGAGATTTAGAAATTTATTGAGTTCCCTCTGCCTAATCTGAAACAGGTCTCCCACTTTGGGCAACTTTTGACACTGATGGACTTCAAATCTGAATAAACCCTTTTGAAGTGAAAGTCAGCCTCCTCTATACATGTCACTGCTAGAACCCACTGACCTCCTTCCCAAAAGGGCTGGGTGAATGAGCATAACCGTGAATATTCCCTCAGGCTGCTGTGGTTTCCAGGCCCCTGGCTTGCAAGAACCTTTTTCACACTACCCAAGACTCCAAGCTGGGGCTTGTTGCAGGATTTAGGTTTCTCATCCACACTGCCCACCCCATATTTTCATATTTATTCCAGGCTCTATTTTCCCACTTCAAATTCCCGTACTTCAAGAGACTGAAGTGGGAGTCCCTACTGGGAGGCCCACTGAGCAAACATGCAGATGTAGTTTCTTCCCTGGACTCAGAGCAGCCCAGGTCTCTCTGGGTGTCCCTGAGTGCCAGAGCTGATCTCCAAGAGAGATCACCAAGGTTCCCCTCAAAGAACAGCTTTAGACCAAGATTGATGTGTTTGAGAAGAGCAGTTTATAGAGCAGCTGCTTTTAACCTGACCTTAATCAAACACTTCAAGTGTAGTTATAGAAACAGAGCGACGAACCCAAACAGCACCTTGTTAACTGGATGCAGGCGCTCCCCGCCAAGCCCAGTCTAACGCTCCTTTTATGGGCAGAGCTGCCTGCGCACACGGCCCCCACAGAGAGGCGGCGATAGATGGAGCGGCAGAAGCCCTGGGACGGGGCAGAAAGAGTCTTAAAGCCTCAGTTTCCTCATCTAGTTTTTAATTTTATATTATCACCCTGCCTTCTGCATGGGATTGTTAGGAAATCCCATAAAATCAGACATGGGTGTGGCCGTGCCTTGGCCACACCATAGAAATATAATTGTATTAGTTTGCTGGGGCTGCGTAACAAAGTACCAGGGACTGGGTGGTTTAGATAACAGACTTCTATTTTCTCCTGTTCTGGAGGCTGGAAGTCCAAGATCAAGGTGTCAACAGAGCTGGTTCCTTCTGAGGGCCGGGAGGGAAAGATCTGTCCCAAGCCTTTCTCCTTGGCTTGTAGACGGTCTTCTCCATGTCTGCGTGGCATTCTCCTACCTGTGTCTGTCTTTCAGTTTCCCCTTTTTAATAAAGACACCAGTCATGCTGGATGAGGGCCCACCCTGAGGAACTCATTTTAACTTGTTTACCTCCATAAAGACCTGATCTCCAAATAGGGTCACATTCTGAGGTGCTAGGGGTTAGAATTCAACTGAGTCAGGGGTGGGGAGGGAACATACTTTAGTCCATAGCAGTGAGGTAAGATTTATACCAAGTGAGGTCTAGTGGCTCAAAAATAATCTGCTGCTTGGAGGGCTAGGAGCGCTAAATTGGGATATTCATCACATCAAAATAGTCTCAGCCTGTCCTTTGATTTAACCTAAAGCAGCTGGAAGTGAGGGGTGAGGAGGCAAAGAAAGAAGGGTGCCTGGAACACAAAGCCATCCTAGGTGCTTCGAAGGCACCCTGAAGTTTCTGTGAAAATCTGAGCTTACCTGATATGAATCAAATGATTTAAGTATTAAATATTTAGACTATGCTTACATTGTGCTGGACACCAAGCACTTTACAAATATTAATTCATTTAAACTGCCTAACAACCGGTAAGGTAGATTTTATCAGTATCATCATTTCACAGATGAGAGAACTGAGGCAAAGAGAAGTTAAGTAACTTACCCAAGGTTACACAGCTAGGGATGAGGCAGGGCTGGGCTCTGAAGCCAGGCGGTGTAGTTCCAGAGGCCTACTGCTCAGCCCTGGGCTCTGAAGGACATCTGAACTGGGCTGGGGAGCCTCTGTTACTTCACCCCGCAGGAAGCAGTGTCTGCAATCTGTCACATCCTTTATGTCCTAGATGACTACGAGGTGGACTGGAGCAACTCTTCTTCCCCAACCTCTGGGTCTGGTGCCCCTCTGGCCGACAAAGAAAAGAGCTGGCTCTACACACTTGACCCCATCCTCATCACCATCATTGCCATGAGCTCGCTGGGCGTGCTGCTGGGGGCCACGTGCGCGGGGCTTCTGCTCTACTGCACCTGCTCCTACTCGGGCCTGAGCTCCCGCAGCTGTACCACGCTGGAGAACTACAACTTCGAGCTTTACGATGGCCTCAAGCACAAGGTCAAGATGAACCACCAGAAGTGCTGCTCGGAGGCCTGACGCACTGCACCCAAGTCACATTTCATTCCAGCAAGAGGGGCTAGTCAAGATTACCGTGGTTTTTTTTGTTGTTGTTGTTGTTTTTTGTTTTGTTTTTCCCTTTGGAAACTGAAGGCCATAATCTCGATCAAACCGATCCAGAATACCGAAGGTGTGGACAGAACAGACAGGCGAGTCGAGGGAGGAGGGCAGATGCAGCCGTGCAGGGGGTTATGACCCACCTAGGACCGCATGGCTGAGTCGTTGCTGGGACAAAGACGGGAGCTCATCTCTTTGGGGTCACAGTTCTCTTTTGTTTGTGACTTTGTTATTATTACATTTTATTTCTTTGGTCTGTGAGCAACTCAAGAGAATGATCTTTCCAGTACAGAGCGGTGATCAATATTCTCCACTTTCTCTTTCTAATCAACATTTGGAAAGCAAAGGGTCTTTTCAGACTTTCCATCTTTGGAAGAAAAAAACTCCACCCAAAAGCCGTCCAGTTTATCCTGTCCTCTGATCGTCGTGTGACTTACGGGATTTGCAGGCTGTGGGTCCCGCCAGCCAACTTGACAAGCTGCCGTTTCCAGTCCCAGCATTTCAGTAGGATGTTGTTGCCTTTAACTTTTTTTATCCAGGGGAAAATTGCCATTTTAGGGTCAGCACGAATAGCTCTTTCTTACATGCGATGTAAAACAAACCAGAAAGGAAACTTCACACATCAGAATCCGTAGGAGCGCCTCCACGTAAGAAGCGGACGAGCCTTAACGTGCTTTGTGAATAGGAGCCATTCGTTCGATCTAGAATTTGTGGCTGTGAGGCTACTTTGTGGGGCCTCCGGTGGTGGTTTGGCTTTTTCTTTTCCCTCCTCCTTGTTCCTCTAAAACATACACGTACACACATGCACACACGCACATGTATCAGGTCTCCAAGCCCCAGGAAACGACATTGTTCTACAGTCTCCGAAATGGGGCTGGGGAAATACAGGCTATTAGTATGTTTTCTCCATCAGTGAGACTAACTGGTGACCACTGGACCAGGAGAATGGTGGAGACAGAAAAAGAAGGCCATCCTCTGTAATCATGTGATCAGAATCACATGATCATGAGCAGACTGTAAGAGACATTCTGAGAAATTACTCTCTCTCTGATAGGCTAGAAAACACTGACTTCTCCTTAGGGTTCCAGCCTCCTTGTCAGCCTTTCAGAAGCATCAGAACTAGGATGTACGTGAGCTGATTCTAACCAGAAGTCTGCAAGCACTAGGGACCAAAACGCTAACACTGCTTCAACCTCAGAGAGACCTATGTTGTCACACACACACACACACACACACACACACCAATTTATGTATTTTTTTATTAAGTGCCTTGGAAAAAAATGAAGAAAAAGATGTATTTTCCTTCTATGTAGAAATCAGTGACTATCATACAAGTTAAGGCGTTCCTCTTCCCTAACCCCACGGTTCCACGTCCAGTTGCCCCCTCACCGCTGATCGTTCTAATGGAGTAAAGCCTTGCCACTCAGTGGTCGTCCTCGCCCAACACGACGCTCAGCTACTGTGGAAGGGGAGGCCTTAGGACTATCATGAAACTGTGTGAAGGAGATTGTCCGCGTCCAGATCCAAATCTTGATTTTACAGTGACACCCAAGGATTGCCTGTGTGCTGGAAATACACTGGGAACCCGACCGGTATGCCCAGCCTGTGCTTATCAGCGGTAAGCTGTCAGACCATTTTTGCTGCTATGGTCACCCATAATTTCATTTGTCTCAGACCCAGGTGAAAGGGGAGGGGTGAATGGGACTGGCCGGTTCCTTAAAACGTTAACTTATGGAAATGCTAGTTCAAGCGGTAATGTCACAGTGTTTTGTATGCAGAGAGGGAGAGTTCATACCGACAGCTATTTATTCATATGTGTGTATGTCTTTGCCCACCTTTGAGTTCTCTGTAGCTACTGTGTATGTGAATGGTCACGTGGGACTCAGTGGTGTTGTGACTTTGACCTAGGGCCCGAGTGTCACTGCTGATCTCGGCACTCGTTGGCACAGTGGTAGTTAGAGGTGAAAAGCAAAGCTGTCAAGCCCAAAGGCTTAGCTTCTGGCCCCCCTGAGCTGGGCATGCAGCAGAAGCAAGTTCTTGATTAACCCATCTTCCTCTTCGCCTTCCCGTGTAGCTCAGTGTTCAGGAAGCTAGCAAGTCCAAGGGTTTCCAGAGTTCGCCT